ATGGGAGAAAATCTGGGGGTTGAAGTATTTAGAAATTTAGAGATGCCCATAAATGAGGAAGGTTTTACTAGAGTCATTACTAATTGAGTTGAGTTGCCTTCCCTTCTTCAGGTGAAAGGTCTGGCTCTCATTCTTCCATTTGGTGGGTTTGTGAAGAGGTTGGATACATTGTGTAGAATGGCCACGTCCCAGCTTCTGTTGTTGCCTGCAATAATTATTTCAAGCTACCTCAATAGCTGAGATGCCTGGTGGTAAGTAATTTTGCTCATCATGAGATTGCGTAAATTTTGAGTTTTAGGTGATTCTGGCACTAATTTTGGAGAATCCTAAAAAGCTCTGAATGTCTTCTGGTCATTGGCCCAAAGTCGTCCAGCTAGCTTTCGTACGTAAGGCAGGACTCAAACTCACTGTCTCGTGGTGATTGGGTCAAGGTCTCCCAGCTGACTGATTCACCATCTCCTCTTTTCTAGCCTGGCGCCTTAACTACCTTCTCCATTATGTCCTACCGATTCTTTGTTAAGAAAGAAAATGGCCTTCAGGAGAACTTCTGTAGTTGAAGAAGGACTAGAATTTGGGTCTCCCCACTATTAATTGGCAGCTTCCCTACTACAAAGCACATTGGACCACTCATTTTTGGAGTAGCAACTAGTGAAGCTTCATTATTTATCTGCCCCCCTTGAGCTGATAAAGCTGTACTGTGAAAAAGATCTTCCTGAAGCCGCATGGCCCAAACATCTGCTTCCTCCTTTTTTATTTTTCTATTTTTTGTGACAATGTAGAGGAGTGGAAATGGGGCTTGGGGAGGGGGATGCTTTCTTTTCTTTTCTCTCAAGGGGAAGTTTGAGGCTCTCCGTTTAAAGAATGTCTGGGTTTGTCTCAAAGGTTGCCAGTTGTTTGTTCCTCCTTCCTCCCCTCCCTCTCGCCTTCCTGAAGGGGGAACGGATATGAAGGCATTGAAACTCAGGCAGAATTTCCTTGGCTGACTTGGAGGCCTTTGGGAAAACATGCTTCTCCCTGCTTCGGTCTTGAGCTTTTACTCCCTCGACAAAACAATGATCCAGATGGCCAGCCTGTCCTTTTCCTGCTCTGCAACAGAAGGGACAAATGGGAGCAGTTGTTTCGGGAATCACAATCCCATTTAATGTTCTCCGAGTCCTGTAAAACAATGTGTCATGCAGAGCAGTCAGCTAATTCTGAGGCTAACTATGGGCAAGATCCTCAGTGCTATGGCAGACGATATGGGAGGCTTGGCCTCTCAATGTTTCCTATGGGTTGATACTTCAAGCTGAAGGTACATATTTCCTGGGATCCCTCTCCTTCCCAGTTTGTTCAAAAGAGACAGTTTAGTCGTTAAGGCACCAGCCTAAAACCCAGGAAACTGTGAATTTAGTCCCATTTTAGGCACAAAAACTGGCAGGGTGACTTTGGGACAATCACCAGGAGACGGTGAGATCTAGCCCTACCTTAGGCAAGAAAATTAGTTGTTACTTCTAGGTTGGATTTCTCTTTAACAAGCTTCTACCCATTACTTTTTGTCCTGCCCTCAGGAGCTTTGCAGAATAAATTGATCCCCTCTTCTGTTTCATCACCCCTTAAGCACTGAAGACTGCTATCATATCACCTGTAGTCCTTCTCTTCATTAGAGTAGACATATCTTGTTCCCTTAATTGTCCATCATATATTTTGACCTCCAGTCCCTTTACCATCTTCATTGCTCTTCTCTGCACTTTTTAGAAAGAGTCTCAGCAATTATTATTTTTAATTATACATAATATTCCAAGTGTGGCCTCATTCATGTGGTACCATTATCATTAACCCCAAACCATTACCTATATACTGATCTATTGCAAAATCTATGCAGACATGCAGAATCCTTCCATCCATCTTATTTCTATAGCTGCCCATCTCAATCAATGACTCTTGGGCTTACATTCCAGAAATGTATGTCTCTTACAACAAGACAAGACAAATTTTCAGTTTTTGCCCAGTAGATGTCCTGATCCGGACTGCATTGGACTACTTCAGACTATTCCAGACTATTCCAGAGAGGGGGTTGTCGGCCTGGCATGGCACTGGAGGAGAGCAGGCAGCTGGCTTTGTTACCGCCGTGGCCCTTTGGGCGCCCCCCCTCCGCCCCACCTAACTTGGCCTTCCCTGCGGTGCGGCCTCTCCTCTGTTTGCCCTCACGGCTACGGGGCCTTCTTTGTCATCGGGCTCCCTCTGCTCATGGCTGCTGGACTCTTGGACGTACGACTGGTCTCATCTGGTGTGACCACTGCCGCCTGTTGCTGCTCAGGGATGCCGCTACAGCCCCTTCAGACTTTTTTGCACCCCTTGCGACACCATCCTACCGCACAAGAGAGAGGGAAGACGAACTATCCTCCCTCCATATCATCGCTAAACTTTATTTAGCTGAACTTTTATGACTCCGTCTATAAACTATGCACAATTTTAACAGCTACGCAACTTTCTGTATGTGGAGTGTTTGTGGTATGTATGTGATTGAGTGATCCCACGCTTTTTAAATTAATTTAACTGCATTTCTATTTTATTGTATTGTTGTATTTTTAATGTTATAGTGGGGTATGCATGTGGAGAATGCCTGGCCAGTATGTATGAGGGGATTGAGAGTGCGGCCTGGAGCCCCCCCCCACTGAGTGCAGAAGCAGAAGTGGGTGGGGGCCCGGACCCGCCTCTCATCCCAGAGCGTATGGTATGAATGGCCTGCCGAGAGGAATGAGGACCGTGGGAGGAGGGGGGGGATATACGGAGATGGGGGCGGGCCGGAACATTGCGGTTATGACTGGGAGGGGCAGGTACGAAGGGAACTACAGGGCTAGCCATTACCGGGGAAGGAGGGTTCGCTACGTCACAGCGATCCCTTGTTCCGGCCCTGTAAGCTCATCTCAAGGACCAGGTGACAAGGGAAGTCAAGGCCCTGGTCTCAGGTTGCTGTTGCTAAATGCCAGGTCTGTGATTTGTAAAGCTCCCCTCGTCCGGGACTTAATATTAGAAGAGAGAGCAGACCTGGCATGTATTACTGAAACCTGGTTGGGCCATGAGGGAGGAGTCCCCCTCTCAGAAATATGCCCAGAAGGGTTTCAGGTGCTCCACGAACGACATCAGAAAGGGGTGGGGGAGTGGCAACTATTATCCGGGAATCATTAGTTCCTCACAGGATCTTGGAACATGGCGGCGGCTGAGGCATTAGATCGGATTGTGCCTTTGCGGCCTCTCCGCAGCAGTGGATCCACGAGACTCCTTGGTTTACCGAGGAACTCCGGGAGATGAAGTGCCAAAAGAGACGCCTAGAGCGACG